TCTTTGTCTGGAAGCTCATCTGAAACCTGTCCACCATGGGTGACCTTGCCGGTTATTTAAAATACCGGTGGCATAGCCCTCAGAATCACAGCAACTCAAGCCACCACAGCACGACAGACAGACGAGTGGTGTCCATTTGGTTTTATGTTGATATTGTCACTTTAAATTTCGATGTCAATCCTGATACAATCCTGATATAATCAAGATACAATCAAGATGCTCTCTCCTGATACTATCAATCCTGATACAATCAAGATGTCCTCTCCCAAGATGGTGACTCCTGGAACAGCTGAGTGTCTTGATCCAGAAAACAATGGATTTGTGGATTCCCTTCAAATTTCCCAGCTGTAAACCCTCCAATCCTCCAAACATACCTTTATATTTGTTTCAGAGTTCCAACACTATCTCGTGAGCCCTATTGGCCCGGTGTTCCCTGTTGTTGTTGACCGAGCTCCTCACTACACATCTATCCGAGCCGCCATCTTGAAGGAGCAAGGCCTGCTAGTGTAGTAGTTAGACCTCGCTGCTTCGAAGATCTCGTTGCTTCAAAACTTATACACTTACTATTACCCAATATCAAAACAAAAAGTAAAGCCTTTTAATGTATCTTTTTTAAACCACTGAAATTTTCATTACAAGAATTTATAGATCTCACACATGGTAGGTGTCATTATTGTTATGGAGTGGTACACTTAAAAATGGTGAAAATCTGAAATCTATAGCAATAAGAAATTTACAACAATAAAAAATTTATAGAATAGGTTGTTGTTGTTGTCATGTGCCGTGGAGTCGGTTCCGACTCATAGCTACCCTGTACAGGGTTTCCGAAGCTATAAATCTGTACGGGAGCAGAACGCCTCATCTTTCTCCCATGGAACAGCTGGTAGTTTCAAACTGCTGACCTTGAGGTTCACAGCCCGATTCTTAACCACTACGCTGTAAATAAAATAAATAAGGGCATTAGGTATGTGACTGTTATAATTCCCATATATATTTAAGGAATCTATATACATTTGAGTGTGTGTATATATATATACATATATATATATATATACATTTGAAAAGGAGCTCTAGTAACATAGTAGTTACTGAATCAGGCTGCTAACCTCAAGGTCAGCAGTTTGAAACTACCAAGGGTTCCACAGGAGAAAGATGAGACTTTCTGTTCCCATAAAGATTTACAGACTCAGAAACCCTGTACAGGGTCACTATGGGTCAGAATCGACTCAACGGCACTTAACAACAACAACAACATATATATTTGAATTCCATTTCAGAGATGTAACTATTTTCCAGTACTGCAATACCAAAAATACCTCAAGTGCATGGCTTTCACAAACAGAGTATTTTCTCACAGTTAGAAGGATAAAAGCCTGAATTCAGGCCACTGGCTACAGGGGAAAGTTTTGTCTCTCTGTGGTCTCTAAGCAAAGAACTTCTGTTTCTGTAAACCTGTCATTCCTTGAGTTCCAAGCAATCTACACATAGCATGTATCTTCCCCTACATTTGTGCTTGCTTTTCTGTGCCTAATGCACTCTTTTTATATCTCAAAAGTTAATAGGTTTACATTGGACTGCTATGGAACATTGAAGAATCACAACAAATCTGAGAAACACCTCATAACATGGATGAACCTGGAAGACATTATGCTAAGTGAAATTTGTCAATCACAAAAAGATAAATATTGTCTGATACCACTATTGTAAACAAACAAGAAAAGGTTTTCATGCTAAAAGAAATATTCTTTGATGGTTGTCAGTGATGTGAGGAAAGGGAGATAAATTAACTAACTAGAGGATAGGCACATGTTAGCTCAGGTGATGGGGAAGACAACATAAAAGATGAGGGAGGTTGGCGGACTCTGAGACCAGAAGAACTAGATGGTATCTGGCTATGACCACCAACTGCTCTGAAAGAGATAACACTAGAAGGTCCCAGAAGGGGTAGCAGAAAATATGGAACAAAATTCAAAATTATATTTAAAAAAAAAAAAAAATAGACCAGTTTTGCTTGTCTGAAAGACTCTAGAGAAACCAGAGACTATGGCCCTCGACCATCCTTCATGTCTGGAAAGGAATTCACCATCGTGGACCAATTTTCAGCCAAGCAGGAGATAGGCAAACAGCGGTGGCAACAACACTGGTAAGGTATATTCACCATGGAATGGTCAATTATTCTAGATCAAAGGGACATTCACCTGAGGACAAAACTGAGCAGGAATGGAAAAGAGAGCGGAATGGAAATAGGACCCACAGGGAGTAAGTAGTACAATTGTTGTTCCATGAAGGGGATTGCCATCATTGAGATGAAACAAAATACATGATTTCTTCAATGTAAAACTGATGATCTTCTCTGTAAACCTTCACTCAACTCACAATAAAACAATTTTTAAAAGTGAGTCCGTTGTAAACACACCCTGACTGATATGACCTCTTAAGAAGAGATCCCTCTTCCCAAATGGCATGCATCTATAAGTACAGGTGTATTTGGACTCCTGGTTTGGTACTCTAGGGTAAGTCCTGGACTGTAAACTCAGTTTGAAGCTCAAGGTCAGCAGTTCAAACTCACCAGTCGCTCACTGGAAACCCTATCCAGGGTCACTAGCAGATGGAACTGACTTGGCAACACTTAACAACAACATATTTGGGGGACACAATTCTGTCCATAACAGCTAAATCTTGAGAAGAAAAAAACTGATTGATGACAAATTCATCTATAAAGTCCCCCCAAGGACCCAAGACAGTTCAAGAGGAGAAGGATAAATCCAGATGTTCACAGGAGAACTGGTTTCACAAAACCAGGGACTGAAGACCCTATGGGCACAACCACTGCAGTTCAGAGTCAGGCTTTAATGGAGCAAAAAGTGCGTGTGACCCAGACAGCTGTAACCTAGGAGCCAAACGTGGACCCAGGGCAGCCTCCAATGGGATGTGGGTCATGGGTCTCCATGCTGCAGCAAACAGACCTGCAGGCACCCAAATGACACCAAGACAGCCACACTATGTGCCTTCAACTCACAATCCTGCCAGCTAGCCTCAGTGCTCTCTCTGTGTACTGGGGAAAGTGGGACTGATGGGCTCCTTTGAACTGAGTGGACTTTCACAGAGCTTGGACACCAAGAGGGCAGTACTGACCCATAAAGAAATGACAGGTGGGATTAGATGAGAAAGACTGAAGCCATAAAGGAAAGATGACCTTCATTTTTGATGCAGCCTGGAGAAGTAGAATACTCAGATCACCTGTGACAATCCCCAGGGAGGCAGACGATGAATGACACCTGAGGCTGTGGGCTCCGTGTTAGTTACAGTAGACGTGTTGGAAGTTCTTCAGAGCTGCTGATTGCATGAATTCTACACAGTCATGTGATAAATATCAGGCAGGCATTAAAATCCCATTTCTAAGATGTTTACTGTCATGTGAAGAAGGAACTAGGAAAACAAGGATGCAAAATTATACAAAGAAATTATGTCAATTTTGTAAAGCTCTATTCACAAATGTCTAACTTGGCTGTCTTAAGTGGCAAAGTTTCATGTTAGTTTCATCGTATACTTTGATCTCCCAATCTGTGTAGCTATTACCTTTGAAATGGCAAAATGTTATATTTTTAATTCCTTCTCAATTAATCTTAAATTATTATTTACCTATCCATTCTCTTTATTTATTAAGTTGATTAAGAGTCCTGGTGTGGCACTGCAGGATAAGCACTAGACTGCTAACCACAAGGTTGGCTGTTCGAACCACCAGCCACTCCTCAGAAACCCTATGCAGGGTCTATATGAGTCAGCACTGACTGACAGCACACAACAACAACAACAACTTGACTATTGCCTTTGGTCCAGAAACACTGCCATGCACTAGGGATCCAAGGAGGAAAATCTCAGTGCTTGGATCTGGGGTGTCTCATAATCTGTGGAAAGAGAGAAGAGGTGAAAGTCAAATAATTATAATACAATGTGCAGGCAACCCCAAAACAAATAGCACTATGTGCCCCAGAAGAGGGAGACAGGAAGGTGTCATTGAGGAGGGGATGACCTTTGACTCTGACTTTGCTTTTGACTTGTTTCTTGAATGTGTGCAGAGGGAACAGGGTTGTTAGCCTGAGAAGAAAATAAGGGGAATTCGTCTGGGCGGAGAAATCAATAGCAAATATTGATTTAATTCCCTAATGTCAAAGATAAGACTCCAGCCCTCAAAATCAGATAAGACTCCACCCCTCAAAATCAGTCAGCCAAGCCAGATGGTCATGCAGGATTCCCATGATTCTGTTTCTTCACATCTTAGTGCTCTGGACCACAGTGCCCACCAGAGACTCTACTTGTTATCTGAAATACTATGACCCACACAAATCCTCAGACTACATCCCACTGTTCTTTTTTCTGATTTTCACAACTAATTTGTGAGTGGTTGAGAGCCAATCTTTATGGCTGACCAGCTTGGAGGACATATAGAGTATGAGATACACCAATGATTCTCAACCTTAGCACATTAGAATCACCTGAAAATATTCCAAACGGCCACTGTCTGACCACCTCAGAGATTCTGATGTATTTTGTTAGGACTGGATATCAGACATCAGGGTGTTTTAAAACTTCCCAGATGATTTTAATATTCAAAATATTTTATTTAGCATATGTATTCTCAAACAGATCATCGAAAATGAAAATTTTGCTGTAAAACAATTCAAAATTTAGTAATCAGAATGAAGTCTTATAACTTGGCATATAGCAGGGTTACAGGTTAATCCCAGTCTACTCATAAATAAGTATCAATACTAGCCTACGTGCACCAGCAATATGTTTGTTTCACATGGCTTTGGACAAAATAAATACTACCTTAAAATCAATTGAAGAAAAATAACTTTTCTTGGGAATAAGAATCAGCTTTGATACTTTCATTGGGTAGAAAACATTTTCCTGCCAATTACTTTTTTTAGGGCCCTTTTCAAGTCCTTGTTCCTGAGGCTGTAGATAAAAGGGTTCAGCATGGGGGTCACCACTGTGTACAGTATAGTAGCTGGGGTGTCTGTCTCAGCTGAGTGGGAGGATGAAGGGTTGAAATACACAGCAATGATGGTGCCATAGAAGAGGGAAACCACAGCCAGGTGGGAGCCACAGGTGGAGAAGGCTTTCCATTTCCCCTTTGTGGATGGGATTCTCAGGACAGTACAAGCAATAAGGATGTATGAGACGAGGATGCAAATGAATGGAGCAATCATTAACAGTCCTGCTACAAAGAGAATCATCATGTCATTGAGGTATGTGTCAGAGCAGGAAAGTTTCCGGAGAGGAACTACATCACAGAAGAAGTGAGGAATCGTGTTGTCTGCACAGAATGAAAGTCTAGCCATCAGCAGGGTATGCAACAGAGCATTCAGATTGGCAGTGACCCAAGACCAAAAGATCAGCAGAACACAGAGCTGAGGGGTCATCTTTGTTGTGTAGTGTAATGGGTGACACACAGCAACAAAGCGATCGTAGGCCATCACAGACAGGAGGAAATTATCCATGTAAGCAAACACAATGAGAAAATAGAGTTGTGTGAAACATCCAGAGAAAGAGATGGTTTGACTCCCAAGTATGTGGTTGGCCAGCATCTTGGGGACAGCGGTGGAGGAGAAACAGACGTCCACAAAGGACAGGTTGCTGAGGAAGAAGTACATGGGGGTGTGCAGGCGGGAGTCAGTGCTGATTGCCAGGATGATGAGCAGGTTTCCCAGGACTGTGACCAGGTACATGCTCAGGAAGAGCCCGAAGAGGAGCTGTTCCTGTTGGGGCTGCCAAGACAGTCCCAGAAGGATGAACTCAGAGACACTCGACTGGTTTATCCTGCTCATGGGTATGGAGACCTGAGTTCAGACACAGATGAGACAGGATCAATTTTAAAACCTAGAGAAGGATGGATGAGAAGGAATAATTAAGAAGATCACAAGGAGAAATCTGTGTGACATAGGTAAATCGTTAAAACTTTAATCCCTGGGGATTGGACCCTGCACTTCTCTGAGCTTTCATTTCTTCATTAGACACTAGTACCAATACTTATGCATCAAGAGTATCTCTGGAAGAAACAGTGATGCCTGAGATGGAGGCAGAGACGACGTGGAGAGATGGAGCAGCTGGGGACTTTAGACACAGAGAGGGAGAGGGGCTATGTGCTGACGATTGGGGGGGGGGGAAGGTCAGGCTTGTAGTGTATACCCTTTGGTTGGTTGATGATGCATAGAGGAGATTGTAACCATGGCAATGAAACGATATACAATAGGATGAATGTAAAACTAATGTTCTCCCATGTAAACTATCACATAATTCACAATAAAACATTTTTTTTAATTACCTCTGGAAAGATGCTCAAAAGATAATGATGGGGTTCTGTCTACATATCATTTTGTACACTTTGAACTTTCCACCATCACCATAAATATTTAAAGTAATGTTTTGAAACACTATAAAAAATTAATAGAGACTTTAAGACTTGTATAGACTAGTGAATAACACGTATGTGTCTTGGCTCTCATAGAGACGGACATGTAGTGTTTAATATAGGTAAGTGATGTCATCCATGTCACCGGTGAGGTGGCCTTAGAGGAAATCTTGGATGTAGCTCAGATTCAGTTTCATTCATCTTGCATCTGGACAAGGGGAACATCCTGAACATATAAGCTCACAGAGTTACATCAGCCATTCACCACTCACTGCTTCCAGAGTGGCCATGATCATGCTGCCACTGCTCTTGCTCCTTTCCGCTCCTTTCAACTTACAGAGAATGTTCCAGAACTCCTAATCAAGACTTCTTGGCTATGTCCACTGACCTCCCTAAATCCAACTGGTAAACTGGTCAAACAGAAGAGATCCAAAGGCAAAGGAAAAAAACTCAGTCAATTTCCCCAAAAGCAAGGAAGAAAAGACAGGAAGGGGTAGAAAATCAGGACAGATGGAAATGAGGAAACCAGGGTACAAAGGAGGGGGAGGGCTGACACACTGTGGGGTACTTGTACAAACTGTAGAATGGGAAACTAAATTACTCTTCTACCTAAAGTATAATTTAAAAAAGAAAATTCTGCCAACTAGTGATGCCCACATTCAGGGACTTCTAAATAGGGCCTATACTAGTCATTCCTAGAAGATCTCAGAAATGGTTGATGATTTTAGAACTGTGACCCACGTAAAATACTCAGTGAGGAGTTTCTGCATAAGGCTTCCAACCTTAACAGCAGGTAGTGGGAAGTCTCCTCTGGCCTGGCTCTTACCTGGACAGAATTGCAGTGCTCACTGTCACTAGGAGTCCCAGACTCACTTTGCTTTCTCCCACGTGAGCAGAGACTGGTGGTCTGGGTTCGTGTGGATGGAGAGGAGCCGGAATGCATACACTCAGTCCTCAGTGCAAGAAGGATGTCTGGAAAATCACAGACGTTTATGGGAGTCTCCATGGTCACTGACCCAAATTCCCTGAGAGCCTCATTACAGGCAGGAAGACAGTAATTGTCCCACCTACCATTTGGCCCCTTTGGACCAAACAATCATGGCAAAGATTACCTAAGGTTGGGTCAAAACTTGAAGACACTAATATGGAACTATCTTAGTGGAGACAAATCCCAGACAGCATTCCCTTGGACCCTACGCCTCATCACCTTCCTCTAGTGCTTCTGGGTCCACAGATGTGGAAAATCAGTTATCAAATCCTTTCTTTTTGTTTGTTTTTCACTTCTTGTTCAGAAGTGTGGCTATTCCTATGTTTTCAGTGTAACTTTTGCTTTCTCATGGGTAGTTGTCTTTAGAGATGATTAGAGATATCTGTCTTCTCAATTTCGCAAATAAGAATTTTGAGAACGCGTTACCAAGATAGACTTAGCCCATAATGTCACTTGGGATAAACGACAGTCTGAAGCCGTAGTAGTCTCAGGTGAGCCCAGCCTGCTGTGATTTATGAATACTAGAATCCTTTGGTATATCTTTCCAACCCACATGGCTTTGCCTTTTCTCAGAATACAACTCCCTAACCCTGTAATTGCAGTCGTGGGGTCCCAGCAGTCATGTTTGTTTGTTTGTTTTCCTACGTCCCCACACATTTTCCATGGCCGGGTGGACCAGAATATTTTCAGTTGGGGAACAGCGAGTGGTTCAGCTGGATTGTATAAACCCAACCCTTTCTGTCTGCCCCATTGAGTGCTCACGGACTGAAGAGCAGAGGACTACAGCAAGCACACAGAGAGGAAAACATACGATCCAGAGAAAATTTCCTAGTTTTCTAGTTCTCGATGTTAGTCTTTTTCTGATGATTAACTACATTTCAGAAGGTTCCATTAAAGTTTTTAATTCCAAATAACGAACACCAACCTAGGACAACAAAAGTAATTTCACTAAATAATATTGAGAAAGACTCACTGGTAAGCTTATGGGGTTGTAATTTTACAGTAACGGTGGGGAAAGATTCCGAAAAGGTGGTGAGAATGCCGGCAAAACTTGAAGAATGTAATCACTGTCTCTGAACTGTTCACAAACACCTTGCTGAACTAGTGTAAGATTTCCTGGGTAGATTTTCAGCTATTTTTAATGTAAGAAAATTGTCACAGGAGAAAAAGCACTGTGCAGTCTAACTTATATTAAATAAGTAAATATAGAGAAACCAAAGCTTCCTTAACAGTTACAAGGAATGGGTGGGAGGGAGCCGGGGACTTTTAGCTCAGGTGATGTTGAGTAGATCTTAATCATGACAACCACCTGGGAACTTAAGTGAGCATGGTGGCAAAACCTGACAGTAATCAGCGTCACTAAATTACTCATGCAGAAATTGTAGAAGTGGTGTGTGTTTTGTTGTCTGTATTTTCACTGCAATATACCCACTGTTCATTATCAACATGTGTGTGTTCTAATGAGCAGGTTGTTATGTGAAAATTCGTATTATGCTATAAGGAAGGATGACCACATCAGATCACAAACTAGATCATTTCATTACTACTAAATTACATCACTGTTGTTGTTGTTGTTAAGTGCTGTTGAGTCGATTCTGACCCATAGTGACCCTGTATAGGGTTTCTGAGGAGCAGACGGTGAGCTTTAACTGCCGACCTTGCCGTTCAAACCACTTGCAATCTGGTGAATTAACCCACAGTGCCACACCAAGACTCCAAATTATAGCCGTACTTACTGCTAAACTCCATCTTTACACAACTGGCAAATAACTGAGACTCCTGCCCCAGTGAAGTGGAAACCTCACCTTAACCCTCATAACCAGGGTTCTTGCTGCCGCGCACCTCAGTGTTCTCTCTGCCACACTTACACCATACATGCCAAATCACATAGTGCTGGTGTGGCTCCGTAGGATAAGCACTGCACTGCTAACCACAAGGTCGGTAGTTTCAACCCCACCAGTTGTTCCATGGAAACCCTATACAGGGTCAGCAAGAATCCATGGAAACCCTCTACAGGGTCACCAGGAATCCATGGAAACCCTCTACAGGGTCACCAAGAATCCATGGAAACCCTCTAC